CGCACCCACTGTTTCCAGCCTAGATCAGATGAGCCAGAATTCAACTCGTTTCTTTTAGCACAGGGCAGGCTCCCCTCAAAGAAAAATATTCCTCAAAACACGTTAGCTAGACAGCACCATTCCTCGTCCTCAGCTACGCTGATGGATGGTGGTGAAGGTGGCCAGCACACCACTTGCACTGTTTTCCATCCAGAAGACGGAGTGGCAGGTTTTACACACCACTTTATTCAATAACACGTGCTCTGCCACTGAATTCCTAGAGGATTTTCTAGCATTTAACTGTGTTGGGGAAAAAAAAAAAACAACAACTAGGAGTAAAAGCCGTTCCTTTCAGTAACATCCTTCAGCATTACTGCAAACCTGCCTTCAGGTGCAGCACAGAGCAAGCACGTGACGGAGACATCCTACAGCATCTGGGAAACTGCATTAAATAACCTAAAGATTTCCTCACCTTTCTTGGAGTAAGAGCTGTGCCTGACTCTCAGATGTAGTTTATGCTTTATAGACTATGTATCAGTCTGATAGTGACTATTAGCATGACTTCATTTAATTAAGTGGTTTTAGCAAGGCAGGCAACTCTACAATGCCTGAGGAAAGAATGGAGTAGATTGGGGCATGACAACATACTGATCTTACTGCAGATAGGGACGGTCTGGGACAGTCCCATGGCAGCACACAGGAACTTAAAATGGGTTTTATCATTTGAAGAAAATACCCCGATGGAGCAATTCAGCCAGCAGGCTCAGCAGTCACCAGATCAATAACCAGGAGTTTGCACTGTCAGGTTCATTGCTACTTGTTACCAACTTGCGGCGCGCAGTTTTCATTGCTTTTTAATGAAAAGGTTTTTTAAAGCCAGTTACTCAAATTGTCTCACAATTTCTCCTCTGCAGAAGGAGTTTAATACTGATCTCTCTCCAGAGACAGAAAAGCAGGTACAGCAAATCTGCAGCCAACTCCTCCTCCTTATCAGCAGCTTCTGCTAGAAAGGGAAGAGATACTTGCCTTTGGTTTGAAGCCGATAATTCTGTTGAGCTTGACGAGGATGCATGGTTTGCCATCCCTGTACCCAAAGGTGGGATCATTTATTCCAGAACAGTTTTCCAGCCATTCACGCCTGAATTTGCAGACCTTCTTCTGGCCCTGGGCATCACTATATGGTCCTCTGTCTTTGTAATCAGCAGGTGCGTCTGTCATGGTGGGGGAATGGAAAGACAACCATATGCGATGTGACCTTTCACTTGTAACAAACAGCAGTGCTTATGCTTCACTCTGTAGTTAGGATTTCCCCCTCGTCCAAACAGGTAAGTGACATCACCTTCTCGAGGCTGACACCACAGACCCGCACCCAGCCACCCCTGTGTGGGCTGGTCCCAGACCAGCAAGTTTGTGGGAGGGGTTGTTTTTTAACTGAGGATTCTTCCAGACTACAAGAGAACATCCACATTTGTAATCCACTGGCTCAGAGATATTTTTTTGGCAGCTTTTACAAGCGGGTTTCCCTCAGATTTTTACATGCATCCATTATAAGGTGACAGTCTCATTCCATGTTCTTACATATAATCTATTAAAGGTTAATGCTGCCCAGATGTTTTGCTGCATTGAATCAAGAGGACTGACACTGGCTTTAGCAAAGTCGTCAGTAAAACCTCCGTGGCCTTCAGAGAGGCTAAGGTCAGCGCCATGTGCTTTTTAGAGTCCGCTGCAACTTTCTCCAAGTGGAATCTGACAGTTCCCAACCACAGAACGCCTACAACGAGCTTCTACGTACATCCCTGGCCAATCTGGTCTGTCCAAACTGACCATTTACCAAGCAGCCATATGACTGAAACCAGAGCCGGCCAGCTTACCAACGTGTACCCAACAGTGGTTGCAATAAAAGGACCAGCCAAAGACAGAGACCACCCCTGCTCACCCTCAGCTCCTGATGGACCTGACGCAGAGGCGTTGGTCAGAGCCCTCAGCTGCAGGAAACAATCGAGACTTACCCCCACAGTCCTGGAATACTATGTTTTCAGTTTGTTGATCAGCACTGTAGTCCTTTAAGAACTTCTCGAGGTTCTTCACATAGGCCTCATAACTTCTGGAATCAGAGGCAGTAAAGGAAATTTCTGTCTTTTGTACCTGGGGGATTTGAGTCAGTCCTAAGAAAAGCAAAATTGGGAAGAAAACATTAAGTACACCTTAGAGTTGCACAGTCTCAGGGCAACGCCCCGCACACCAAGAACGTAACTCATTCTAATAATCTCTATTTTTCAGACTTCAGGACTTGCACAAAACAGCTTAAGCTCACTAGAGGGGAGGCTCTGACAGGCTCTTATCTCCTCTTTCCAACAACAGTCTGGAATATTCGTCCTGATGTTTGCATCACTAAGCAGATAAAAATCACAGAATCCAGAAGGGAGGCTAGAAGTCAAGGTTTTCCCCAAGAAAAAGAGTCAACCACAAGTCCCCTGCCCACTTCTGCCTCCTCCCCGAGGACAGAGGGGAAGCTGTCTGCGTGTGAGACCAACCACACACAATAAAGTCCCATGGAAGTCTACTCTTGTGTGTGTATCCCTAATAGGTTGACTTCAAAGTCTGCAAAACATGTTATGCATTTAGGATAAAAACCAGAGCTGCCCACTCATAAACCCTAGCAATAAAATACGAGAGGTTCCCCAAGTCAGGTACGGTTGCTGCTGGTTGTAATCCACATTGCTTTTGTGTAGTCTCCCTTGCAGGATGCAGGGCAGGAGACATTTTCTCACTCAGTAAATTCATCAGCCTGAGGGCCTTCCCTGGTCTTTCCATGCAGTAAGCAGGTATTCCTGATTGCAGAAAAAGCTTTCCAAGCTCTCTAATCAGCAGCTCATCACTGAGTGGGTGAGTAGGAAATACCACCACATGGGAGAGATGTTTAAAAGACTGTCCTAGATTCTTTTGACTTTAGGAGGACGAATATAAAAAGAATGCATGGAGAAGAAAAGGGACTAGATAGAAGCAACGCCTACAGATGATAAGCACCAACTCCTTTGTTTTTCATTATGGGGCTTGGAAATAGTTGCTCCTGCATGATGCTTAGGTCACGTTTTAATTGAATGCATTCATGCATGGCTAACACTTTAAACTTAAGTAATGGGAACTGGAGTTCATGCAGCTTTTGTGGCAGCCACTGTAATTATTGATGTCTTGACTTCTGTTCAGTTTGTCATCTTCATTTTAGCAAGAACAAGAAAAAGGAGCAGCATTTGCTTTGATAGCTTTCAGAACAGGCCTGTTGCCAACAAGTTCCCCTGGTGCAAAATTCAGGCAGCTTAGCTGGCTGGCCCAAACCCACAGGAGCTTATGACTCCAGCAATTTTTCCAAAGCCACTTGAGTGCTTCTGCTTAGTCCCTCCTCAAGCCAGCTCACCACCCACCCCCCCGCTACCCACCGAGTTGGAATTTGTAACCTAGGACAAAGATTAGTTTTGTTCCCCTAAATGCAGCTCCTAGTAGCCAAAGATAGTGAGACACCCAGTGAGCAGTGCAGGGTTTCAAGTTTTATTCCAGGAAGCAGCTTTAAACACTCAAAACTCCCTCTGGTACAAACTGACCAGGTTGAACGTTAAAAGTTTGGAAGCAACTCATTATTCCACTAGCAGAATTATGTTCTACTCTCCAGAGTCAGTGGCTTTCAACCCCTTTTCAAGCAATTACTTGCATTCTTGATTCACAGATATAAATAAATATATATAAAATCAATAAGCTGGGTTCAATTTTAGTAAGGGACTTCAATCCCATCCTGCCTAACCCTCCTCATGTTACTGCTCAGCTGGGAAGCAACAGGCTCAGAGTCACTTGAAGTGGCCGTCTGGAATTGCAGCGAAGGCAGGCCTTGGTCCCCCTCCTGGATCTGCCTTTTCCAGAGTTCAAGTTACAGGTGGGTCATTCAAGTGTATAAATATAAAATTCAAGAAAACTTGGCCAGGCTTGTTAAGCTTCAGTCAGGCAGTTAAGCTATGTAGTTGTGCTCAGGACCTCTAAAACCAAGCAACTCTCTACCTCTGGTTTTGGGTTTGGATTTTTTTTTTTTTGTCTTGTCCAAGGTAATGCATGAACGCATCCACGCGAGCATGGCAGAGGTGAAGGGAAGGTCAGCAACGCACCCCCGTGGTGTGTAAAAGCCACCTACCAGATGAACTCTGGTCTCTGGTTAAGAGAGCCGGCCCCCCAACATATAGTCCAAAGCCAACCTTCTGCCCATGAGACAAGTGACTTGGCTGGGAGCACAGACTCCCATTGAAAGCATTCCTGTCTTGCAAATCTTTGCAGAGCAGCACCAAAGCCCAAGCAGCACCTCCATACAGCTGCTCCAGTGGCCAGCGCAAGAGAACAACCGTTCCTGCCAGGCAGACTCAGCCTGTGGTGATGGCTGGGCTGCTTTCAGCCAAACTTCGGGCATTTACAGGTACCTGGATGAACCACACTGGGCTTTGGTACAGCAGGTGCTTTCTTTGTTTAGGAAAAGAGCAAAGCAGAGATCAGTCTTCCCACTTACGAAGCAAGGAAACAAATCTTTGTGAAGATGAAAGGCTTGTTATGAAAATAGCTTTATCCTGATTAAAAATATGGTATCATTACTGGCTTCTACCACAACCTCCATTCTCACATGCCTGCAACTGAAGACCCAGAGCCCTAAGCACAGATCTATCATTTCCTTCTTTGTTTTCAATCTGTACATCCCATAGCCAAAATAAAAGCTTCAATACTGTTATCAGAGCAGCACTATCACTGAACCCTGCTTAAGCATTTGTTTTTTGTTTTTTAAAAAGTGTGTGTTTGTTATGATGAGAGGAGTAACCTCTGCAAAACACTTCTGTAAGCCTTCTCAAACCTTCTCTCATCACCATTAGGGGAACTGAAGCCAGTAGGGACAAATGACAAAGCTGAGCCCTTCCAGTGCTACCTACCATAGGTTGCTAGACATCTAGGGAAATACGCAGCTCAAAGTACAGGGATGAATAAACCCCTTTGGGGCTTCACGCACACGAGGAAGCCATTCATGAGCAAGCACTATGGGAGAAAAGAAAGCCTCAAGTGCTTTCGTAGCCAGCAGTCTAAACAACCCTCTCCATCTTCAGACTATGATCTGTTTGCCACAGTTCTGTATCTCATGCCATTAACACAGCAATGCACCACAGTGTCGTTGTGGTGATGCTGTTCTTCACACACGGAAGAATTATTGCTAAGAAAATACTGACAAATTATTTTTGACAATTTCTGCAACTGGCTCCTAGAGTACATTGCTAGGAAATATGACTACTGTCTTCATTTGACTGACACTGTCCACATAAATGATGAGTGATGCCTTGACTTGGCAACAGACACCACCTTCTGTTGGCTTTCTAACTCTGTGGATGTACCAAGATATGAAAACCAAAAAATAATCTTGTGAAGTCATTGATTTTTTTCAGCTACAGTTCCACTTCCAAAACACCACTGCAGATTAAAATACTATTTATTCAACTTCATTTAAAACCATATTTTCCACAGTCTTCATTCTAAGCTGCAGGAACAAGACTTCAGGAAAAAGTGTCCTGAGGGTAAAGAGGAAGAAACTAGAAGTGGGAAGTCAGGCTTGTTACTAGGAATGGTTGTGTAAGTCCATCGTAACCACTTCATCGCGCGATGTTCATTTCCAATTACCCTGTAATCTTGGTCCAGAATGAATCTGAACACTCCTGGGATGCTCACCACAGATAACCAACTGAGCGATCACTATGTCATTTCTATTTACCACCCCCCCCAGCTCACCAAGTATAGACTTCAAAAGCCTCCATACCAAGCGATGTCCTTCCAAGCTTCCAGTCCCCTTCTACCTCATCCCCGAAGTGCAAAACGCACGTGCACATTTTCTACAAACACAGCAAAATCCGCTTGGTACATAGCATCCCTGGAGCTTGAGATTCAGAGATTTTTCCAAACATAGGTGCTGAGATAAGAGACCAAAGCAGAAAAAAATGCAACCGACAGGAGGTAGCATACACGTCTTGGGACTTTCCTGTCACCTCCCAGCTGCTGTCCAAGCTAAATAAGCCAAGTGGGGAGTACAGACCAGAGAAGCCTTTTCCATGACACAGCCACTGCCCAGGCATGTGGTGGCCAGGCAGCACTTGAAGCAGGGACACCTGAAATCCCCTGGCTGGAGCAGGGATTCTTCCTTCCAGCTGCCATTTCAAAAGAGCCTGAGGCAGCAGCCAGCTCTCTCATCCCTATGCCAGCCCTAGGGACAGGATGCTCCGTTTCAGAGGATGCACACCACAAGATGGCAGGATATGCAGCCCAATTTACATTGGGGTGGGGAAGGGGAGGAGGAGACTGGAGTATTTTTTTTTAAATAACAGTGTACTGAGCATTTAAGAGGCAATATCCTCATCCTTCCCTATTAGGAGAGTAAGTCCTCTGCTGTTTAAAGCAGAGTCCGAGCCTGCAGCACACGTGGAACTGGGAGCTGGGGCTGTCGCAATGGCAAGGCTGGACAGGGAGCTAAAATGCGCTGTCCCTTCCCCCGCCCCAGGACAAAAAGAGGAGGAAAAAAGGTATCATGGAAAGGTACAAAACTCAGCTTGCCCTGAAGCCCTGTATAACATTCCTGTTGTGTTCAATGCAGAAACCAATTAGCATAGTAATAACACTTGGCTACAAAACCAGCACTTTATGGCTTTCTGTGTTATACCCATGTCAATAACTCAATAAAACATCCTACAGGTTCTGCTGCTGTTATGAAGTCTGTTGTACTTCAGAACAGGAATGATATTATAGCAGCCCCTACAGCATTTCTCATGCAAATCCTGAAGGGAAGTTTAGTTTCCCCTTTCCTAGACATTTTGGGCTGACGCAGCAGTGATTTGCCCAAGGACAGAGCGCTGTAACAAGAATAAAACCAGGTTTTCCATTTTTCCTAGAAATTCCAGGGCTCTATCAAGCTGCCAATATACTTGACTTGCAAATCTTCCCACAAGAGCCAGGAATCAGGATTGCATCACACTGTTTTATGCCGTTCATAGTCTGCAGGGGTCCCAGACCACAGAAAACTCGAGTTAGATGCTCACCAAGCGCAGAGTGAATGTGCCCACAGGTGTGTTCGCTGCCAAAAGAGCTGTTGTGCTTGGAGCACAGGGGAGAGCCCTACACAGCAGGGGAATATGGGGATCACTGACCTCCCAAACACAGCAGTGCAGCAACTCGCTACAGTGTCAATCTCTGCAAAAGCCCACATTAAAAGGCTATTTCTGGCTCATTGTGGTCTAACAGCTGCTGTACTACAGCATGAGGAACCAACTCAATGTTAAGAGCCAACTGCCACCACACCTTACCCCTGGCTTGTCCAAGTTTGGAGAAAGAGTTGTCACATGATGCCCTGCAAAGGACCCTGCACTATTAACTGATAAATAACTCCTTAAAGTTGTACACATGTGCCATCACAGCTTGGTTCAAAACCCTTGTTTATTGGGCTGCCTACTGTCATATATTCAAGGAGCTGGATTTTGTTCCCCTTGATTTCAGTACATGTCCTGAAAGCCCATTACAAAGATCCCTGATGACCTTTTCATTCTTCCTCCATTTTGATTTCTGTAGTCAACACAAGAGCATCACAAAATTCAGTTCCTTTTTTTTTGTTAAAGAAAGGATAAGCCCCAGAAACACTGGTGCAGCAAACAAGAGATGAATAAAAATCCTCTGCAGACTGAAACCCTACCAGAGCTGTTTGCTAGAGTTGTTTTAAAATTAAAATTGCAAACTGCTATTACACAGAAAGTGAACAGTTTACCTAGAATGAGTAATTAAGTGACATCAGGCTAAACAGCAGGTCTGTCTGGATGTGACCCAAGATCCATGGGCTTCTTTGCTAATTATTTCACATCTAGTGAGACCACTGGACTTCAGCCGGGAAAAACACATTATTAAAATAACTACACCACCATTAGCCATGTTGGCTTTTCAGATGCAGCTAACTGCTCTGGGCAATATCCGTGACAGTTTAGTCTTTCCTGCAAGTGTCAGAGCCCATTGCAGAGACATAAACAGCCACTTTGAGTGCTTAAGACAGCATTTACCCTAGCCATGGTACATGAAGAAGTGCCACACACTAACACAGCAGTTCCAGTCTCTGTTCTGTCTTTAAAAAGTGCTGGTGGAAAAGCAATTATCTGAAAAAGATGATTCTTCGCTGAGATATAAGACCACTTGGTGATGGTAACATTCTCTGTGTTGTTGAGCAGGGAATAATCACAGCATAGCACTGCAGACAGTGGGGCTGTAAGACACAGAGTGACACCAGAGCCAACTTCTGTAGCTACAAGCCATCAGCCTCACAATTGTCACTTAAATACCACTGTTATTAAAAGCTTCTGAACTGTTTTACAGAGCAACTGGAGACAGATCGTTACCATCCCCAGTGCCAAGCAGCCTCAAGGTCATTTGTAATGTGGGAAAGCAGCAGTTGCGCAGCTCCCCCACCACACTCTGAGCAGCCGCTGGCTGCAGCCGGAATCAGATAGCGCAGCAGAGCCCGGACAGGCAGAGCGGGGAACCTGCAGCAAGGGCTAGTTACTCCATTTGCCCATACCCAAGGCTAGCTGGGCACAGACACTGCTCAAGTGATCATTTTGATTTTGAGCAGAGGCTTATTTTGTCTAGTAGAGATAGGTCATCCATCAGCAACTGCAAGACCCACCTTTAGCCTCCCACAACACACTCAATTGAAATACCCACTGGTAAATGGTATTTCCATCTCCTCTAGATCACATAATGTAGCTCAGTGTTGGCTAAAACAATCCAGTAAGCACACACAAAATTAGTATGGTCCCCTTTCTCCTTGTGCACCCCAGTTCCACAGATAAAGCTAACTTTTACCTTTGTCCCTTCACTTACCCACAGGAACACAGTGGCTATGAAGAAAGAAAAACTGAACCCAGCTTCTTCATACAGCTCATTCCCAAGGTGAAGCCTCTTAGCCCCACTCCATTGCTTCAGTTTAAGGGGAGAGCAGCAACACAGGTTAAGGCTCCTCTCAGACAGGAGCATATTTCATGTGATGCAACCTTTAATTCTAGCAGGATTGCCTTCAAACCCCAGTACTGTTAACACAGAAGGCTGAGAACATACCCACCCCCTACAAATATGTGTTGCAGCAACGACATGCTTATTTCATCCTCCTTCTTGAGGTGAGTAACCAACCCGCCTCCCCAGAACAGCTTGTACTGTCAGACACGGGCCTCCTATTTAGTTACCTGGAGGTGCCACTCGATCCTGGTATTTAGGCTCAAATTCACTGACAGTGAGCAACATCACTTGGATGGTCCCAATGAATATACCTGCCAGGCAACCGTAGAAGATGACATAGAAGAGAAGGATCTTAACTGCAAGAGGAAACAAACAGAAAGAGGAATCAAATCAAGCCACCAAGGCAGTCATGTTTCAGGACAAAATTTCCAACCTTTGGCACTTGCAAGTAAGAACCCAGCACAATGAATTCCAATAGCAAGTCCTGCCACAGAGGCATATTTTTAACAGTGAGATTACGCCCCGATGCAGATAGACAGAAAATCTAAGGCACTCCAGTTGTCTGGGGGTCTGGAAGCATGAGCCCCTAAAAACGTAGAAATCCAAGAATCAGGATCTAGGATTGTAAAACATGAAGATTAAACCATGTTCTTCCATATTTTAAAGGATCCCTTGGCTGAGCCAACACTACCATCACACGCTATCACAGGTGACAAACTTTCAGTGAAGCAAGTGCCCAACAGCAGGAGGCCATGCTATGGGTGTGCTCTGAATGACATCCATTCCACAAAGCTCTGGGCCTTAAAGCTATTTCCAGGATAGTCTACAGTAAGTGTTATATTCAGGTTTACAAGCAACAGTAAAGCCTGATCTTCCCTAGCAATTCAGGCTATTCCATTAAAGACAACGGAAGCAGAATTCAGGCCCAAATTAGCTCCAATACTCGATGTCAAATGCAGGAAAGTACTCAGATGTCACAGCACTGCAGGTTTACCAGCCTTGCATGTCTACAAAGGTGCTCCAGCACACTCACGTCAATTAGAAAGTGAATTACATAATCACGAAAGACTGAATTTAGTTTTGGTCTAAAGTGAGATGCCTAGAATAATCTTTGGGGTGGCAGGGGGTGTGTGGAGAAGAGTCTGGAGACACAGCATGGCTCAGACTCTGGGTATCAGTTACCAGTTTACAAGGATTATCTCAACTGATTAACTGCACAGTAACATGCCGTACTAGGCATCACCAGGCCGCCTACGGGAAGGATAAGCCAGCCCATGCCAAGCAACTATATGCTAATCAGGCTGCAGGAACAAGCAGGCCAGCGCAAAGGCCAAAGAGTACTTAAAGACCCTGCTCAATCTCGGACTGTCTTCATCTAATTGCAAACAAAAAACCAGATGGCTTCTTTGAAGGACTTGAAGTGACCAGCTACAAGGGAAGGGGAGGAAGAACTAGGTGGAAGTATTCCTCTTCCCTCCCCAGCCCCATCATAAAAAAAGCTCCCATCAGTGGAGAAGCCTCACAACAAACACGTGTGGTTCTGGTCATTTTCTTTTCAAATCTATGAAGGACAGGCCAGCAGGAAGGACAGACAGTGACACAGAGGCTGAGAGACACTGTCAGAAAGGTACTCCATCCTCTCCTCTTCCTCGAGTGCACCAGAGGTAGCCAGAGCTGGTGGGCAGAACTGGGTGCGGTAGCGTGGTGCTCCAGGAGTTAAAAGCACTCTTTGGTATCCAGGCAGCGTAAAGCAAATGGCTGTGACGTCAGGGACGTTTGCAAATTTTTTCCAGAGCACAGTCATAGGAGGTGCTGTTGTAACAAACCAAACACTAACGCTGCTGTCTGCAGTGTAACGCCTTTGAGTTTTGTAACATCAAAAGGCAAACGCTGGGAGGTAGCTTATTTAATCAAGTTCCCAGCCAGGATGCTCTTAACACTTAAGACACCTTAAAGGTCAAAACCACTCCTAGGTCTCAGAAAACACACAGCAGGTCTACCAACTGAGCACAACAGGGTTGAATGAGAAAGCTTCCCGCAACAGGTAGGTTTAACAGGGCAATCAGATCATCAGCCTGCAGATTGACTCCACAAATGGAAATCAGTCCTAGGCAGATAGGTACAGGCACCCTGGGAGAAGGACCTGGTTCAGCCTCCGCATCTGAAGCACTGCGCAGTTGCCTGGTGCCTCAGGAGCAGAAAATACCTATCCATGCACACCCACAACCCAATTCTGCTCACGTAAAGATAGAGCAGAAGCCTGCTCTAGTCCGCCCGCCT